AGCAATATAGGTACATTCAATACATGACTTTTGCCTGCTTATCAGACACAAATTTAGGAGCATTTCTTTTTACACATGAGCAATAATCAGCCGTTATGGAAGTTGCCTAAGGGCCAAAAACCAAAAAACCAAACCCATTGCCATTGAGTCAATTCTGACTCATGGTGCTCCCACATGTTACTGAGCTCTGTTAGGGTTTTTTTTTTTTTTTTGGTTATAGTCTTTGTGGACGTATATTACCAGGCCTTTCTTCTGCAACATTGCTGGATGAGTTTGAACATTAGTAGCCAAGCACAAACCATTTGTGCTACCCAGGGACCTGCAGATTGTCCCAATATGTCACCATTACAAAACAGCCTCAGCCTCCAGATTGTGGTATTGCTCCCCTCTTGTTCACAACCATTTGTGGGTAATATATCCTTAGATAAGGATCCCTGGTGGTGCAAATGGTTAATTAAGCATTCAGCTGCTAAATGAATGGCTGTTCAAACCCAGTCAGCGACTTCATGGGAGCAAGGCCTGGTGATCTGCTTCCGTAAAGATTATGGCCAACAAAACCCTATGAGGCAAGTCTACTCTGGTCACAAGGGATCAATGTGAGTCGAAATTGACTCTATGGCACCTGACGACAAAAACAGCATGTCCTTACATGGATCTCTGAAATGACCCTCACTTCCTGGGCTACTGAACATTCTCAAACTCTCCAAGATGGCAGGCAGGCAAAGGGGGAGGGGGCTAGAATGCTGAAGTTCTCCACCAGAGCATACTGTCAGAGAGCCCAAGGCAGAGATGGTCCCTATGCCCCATGTTTCCATGGAAACATAGAAGGAGTGATGACAGCCAGCACAGCCACACCATCTGCTCGGGACCCGGTGAATGATGAAAAAAAAATAGAAAAAGAAAGGCACCTCAGATCCTAGGCTGGAACCACTTGAGATACCTGTGGTGAGGGAAAGGCCTGAACACCCAAGAACTTCTAGGTGGATTTAAAATCTTTTCTTCCTGGAGCTCAACATATTAGCATGTAATTTGCAAACAGAAAGCTTAGAGGGTTTATCCTGCAATCCCTAGATATAGTTACAAATACCCAAGGTGCCTCTGGAGGAAGAAGCAGAAACTGAGGGATGTGTCTGCAGAGTTGCTGCAACAGGAGAGAATGATATAGTTCACACAATGCTGGGCAAGATGGGGTAGTGGCTAGGAGAGTTTTATAGGGCTCAAGTCACCTTCCAGCCAGACCACCTGCAGAGCTGGCTTTTGGCCCAGCATCCTTTTCTGGGGAATTGGTAGGATCATAAAGATAAGAAAAATCTCACCTGGTCTCCAAAGTGACCTCTGGGTCTCTGTCTTCAGAATGAGGCATTCATGAATAAAGCTGTGCAGGGTTTCTCTTTGTATTTAAAAGGAGATCCCCTTAGTCTGACACCATGGATTTGCTTCTTCGTCTGTTTAGAAGGCTTCCTGTTCCATGTTGACAGAATACGAGCAGGGCCCTCACTAAACACCCTCGTGTCTCTTGGCCCAGATTAAGCAGGATTCATTTCGTAGTCCCTTTCTTTCATATATTTGGCCTAAACAAACCAACCAACCTGAACTAGGAAGCAAGGCAGCCCCTGTCATTTAGCTGCCTCCCCAGGCTGCCTTCTCAGGAGCTGGGTGATTTGTTCCAGCTCTCCCTAGTATTGCCTTCATCTGTCTCAGGAGAAAAGCCCCCTCAGGTCACAGGTCTTTAATATGCACAAAAGCTATTTCAGCTTCCTAGGAACCACCATTTTTTCCCCCCAAATTTAGGTAGTCTCTTACTCCTTTATAAAAATCTTCCCTTTTAGTTCTGAGTTCTGATATCCTAATTCCTGAAAGTTTAAGCTTTTTTTTTTTTTTTTTCCCACTTTGTATTAAGGATTTTAAATTTTGACAACTAGATTAAGTGTTTGTATTGGTAGGTGTACCCAGGGGCTGGAGGATAATGGGAACATCTTAATAAACCAGATAAATAACAATAAAAATATCTCCCCATAAAGGCTCTCATTAACTGTTCTATATTTTACTTGTAAAAACTATTAATTTCGATTTATTTCCATGACATGGTAGTAAAAATGGAACGATGGCAAATAACAACAACAACAACACCTATTTTTTAGATTTCCTCAGCAGCCTCCCTTCTACACTATACATAAAAGCATACACACGATACTGCCCCCACGTCAAAGGCCTCAAACAGACCATAACAGCTATTTTTGAAGAGACATTTTAAAATATGCACAGTAGAATTGCTTTAGGCTCAAGTATTCTCATATGTTAATAGGAAGCACCATGTTTAAATTCAAATATATCTACCCATTACTATATGGGTAGTGATGGAGAGAGGCTTTTATGAGTAAACTGCTCAATCAGCTCTATAGACCCACCAATACCTTTTCCCTTTCATTTTCTGGATACATTTATTTATCTTCAGCCTCGGTGGTAAGGGCAAATCTGTATCTTGAGCATCAAGCCCAGTATGGGACTCACAGTAAACACAGTTCTGTTTGTTCTTTAGCCACCCTTCTTTATATAAACAGATGTGGTGGGAAGAGAAGGAAAGCCAGGTCCCTGTTAGGGGCAGGGAGGTCTCCTTTCCAAAGAAGCTTCCCCGCTGCAGCCCTGAGCACAGGAACAGGACACATTTCTCAGTTTAGGCAGTGGAACTTGCAGTTCTTCCAGAGAGGGGCTGTTCCTTTCTCTCTCCTCCACTCTCCACCCCCATCCTTTGTTCCTGGGAATGCTGTCTGGATGTCTCAGGCATCTCACTTTTGCCAGAGCAAACATTAGCAAACAAGGCTTATGCTAAAGAGATATTATGAAGACAGATTTTTTTTTTTTTTCCTTCTCCAAATGCATTGTAGAATAGACTGGGATTTGGGAAACCAGACTTTTGCACCTGTACTTTCTCCTATATTAACATTCTCTTTGTTCTTTTGTAGTCTTGTTACTACCTTCAATTAACGAGGGAGGTTTTAAGGGGCTGGGAGTTGGCAGCATGTAAAATAACAATTTCGTTTTCTCAAACTATGTTTATGTGGACTCTGGCTTAATTTATTGTTTTGAAGGGGTGGGGTGGTTGAACATTTTGTAATTCAACCCCAAACAGGGTTTCCTATACTAAATGTCCAGATTTCAGTTTGTTAACCCTTATGTTGCACCAACTGTTAAGCACTCAACTACTAGCTGCAAGGTTGGAGGTTCAAACCCCACCCAGAGCCACTTAGGAAGACAGGCCGGGCCATCTGCTTCTGAAAGGCCATAACCTGGAAAACCCTATGGTGCAGTTCTAGTCTGCACAGATGAGGTTGCCATGACTCAGAATCTACTTGACTGGTAACTATCAATAACAACAACATTCAGAGGCTGGTGAGGTGAGAAGGGTAACAGACTTGAGGATGGGCCCTGAAGGGCTCCTGTGACTTCTACCATAGGATCCAGCTATCTGGTGACCCCAGTCACTGGTTCTTCTCGTGGAGGAGAAACAAGGGGTGAGTACTAAAAAGGCCTCTCTCATGGCAGGGAGTTGGAGGTTTAATGCAAGCAATGGGACATAACTGCATTATTCTACTCTATACTATTTTGTTCTGTTCTCTCTAGGAATTTTCTGGAATCCTGAGTGAGGCTCCCAGAGCTGTGGCCCAGAGGAGAGGAGAGTCAGGGGACGGAGGAGACATTCTAGGTCAGCCGTGGAGAATGAGTTAGGGCCCTGATACAGTGCTAGGCTTCTTAGCATGTCTATGAAAGTAAGCAAGAAGTAGAATTTTTTTTTTTTTAATCAAGGAAATAATAAAGACTTGATATTTTGAGAAGCCAAAATGATACTCTATTATCCTTCCAGCCAACAATATGCCGCTTTCCAGACATGAGAAGGGGCGGGAAGTTTGCAGTCTACACTCAGAGGCCTCATTCCCCTTTCTTGCAAGAAAAAGAAAGGAGGTTGGTTTCCAGGATATTGATAGCTGGCGCATGGTGGGACCCCAGTGTATGCCAAACTGCAGCTTGAGAGCAGGACCTGCTGGAAGTGGTTCCCCTACCCCCTTTATTTCACTTAACTTACTGACTCCAGATATTTTAACAAATTGTTTATGACGCTGGAGTAGACGGTACACTTAACTCTCTCTGTGCCTTCCGCGGCTAGGGAATTTCCCAGAACCCACTCCAGGTCGTAGTCTCATCACCACCCAAGGGAGCATCTACTGGGGTCAAGGAATCTTGTGCCTAAAAAGAAGTGCGTGAAGACCTAGAAACGACGGGTGGGGCCAGGCGAAGGCAAGAGGCGGAGAGATGCAGAAGGCCAGGAATGTCTTAGCATCCCCCTCCACTCCACCGTCGCCTCTTTTTCCATTTTCCCTGCGCTCGCGGGGCAGCCTGGAGCATTCCCGGCTTGCCAAGGGTCAGGGGGACGGTGGGCGTGAAGGTAGACCGGCAAAGATGCAGCACGGCCTGCGAGCGCCGCCGGACACCTAGGAACCGCGCGGGGAGCGGAGAGGCGCGCGGGGCGGGCGCGGCGCGGGG